CAGGGAACGACTCTTCTGCCAGTGCGGGCCCTGCGGGCTCATCCTCCCGCTGGGCCGGGGCTCCCCTCCCCTTTCTAGCCAGCCCCGCCTCTCTCGGTGCCGGTTCCCTTGGCCTCTTGCTTCGCCGCCGCCTCTCAACTCTGGGCTCGTGCCTCTCGTGCTGTGGCCGTCCGAACGCCCTCCTAAGCTGGGCCTGACAGTCCTCCCAGTCTCGAGCCCTCTCCTGAATCTACTTGGCCACCTGCTTCTCTGCCCGCCTTGTCCAGATAAGTAGGGCCTGCGCCCATTCCTCCTGCGCAACCCCCAGACTCAACATGTAGTGCTCATATGCGGGGATGAACTCATCTGCGTTCCCCTCCTCCAATCGAATGGGCATGCTGTCACGCCCCCTAGGGGAAGCTCTCAACCTCTGCATCCCGGCCTCCACGTCTGGCCAAGTCAGGGCCTCCTCACATATCTGAGCGACGGGCTCCTCGAACCGCCCTATACCCCTCAAGTGGTGAATCCTCTCCACCACTGACCACCCTCTCTGTGCCGCATGGTATCGATATACGTCCAGGAAAAGCTCAATGTTGTCGTCATCGAACTCAAGCGTAGGCTCCCTCCTAGGCGGTTCATGCTGCTCGCCCCTTCCCTCCATCCTCTGGGGCCCCTGGCGTGGCCGTGTGTCCCTCCCGCCCCTCTGCATGACTGCCTTCGAAAAGTTAGACCTGCACAACAGCCGAGAGACAACAGACAGGCACACAACAGGGTTAGCGACTGGGCCATTAGCCTAGGGGAATCCCACATACTCTTCACACCCATCCACCCCAATCATCCACCTATCCAAGCATCTGACTTGGGTAACGTCGAAGAGAGACTCTATTCCTAACGAGGTCTCATGGCCCCTTACCTATTCCCTGGCCATGAACTTCTTCAGCCTTGTCCCTGATACCCAGTCCTGCCATCCTGCCCCGTCCAGCTCCTCAATTTGGTAGGCCCCAAACTCGCCACACCGCACGATCCTATAGGGTCCCAGCCACCGCTTGTCAAGTTTCCTAGACCACTGCTTCTCCAGCGAGGAATCGTACAGCAGCACCACGTCTCCAACCTTCAGCAGCTCCTTCCTTATTCAGGCCATCTGGTCCCACCTCATCTTATCTTCCATGCGACTTCTCTCCACCTGATCAGCGACCTCCCGTAGCCTTTCTTCAACGGCCCCCACTTGTCGCGCCCGTATGTCGAGCAGTTCTTCAAAGGATAGGTTCACTTCCAGGTCCTGGTGCCTCCACGTCTTCATAAAACTTTCTATGGGGAAGGTGGCATGCCTTCCATACCATAGAGTGGTTGGCGCATACTTGGTAGTCCTTTTCACTGTAACATTTTCCACGAAGAAAGCTGCTCTCAGGAACTTCGTCCATTGGTTAGGCTTCCCCTCCGTCCATTTAGCCAGGAGATTCGTGATGGTGCTGTGCCCCCCTCTCCACAGGTGCGTTCGCCTGGGGGTGCACGGCAGTAGTATAGTTTGCTACCACGCCGTACCCCGCGAGCAAGGTCCGCACCTCGTTACAAGTGAACTCCGACCCCCGGTCCATCACAAATTCTCTGACGAACGGATAGCGCAGGTAATACTCTTCGATTCACCTTGCTTAAACTGGGCCAGTCTTTGTGCGAATAGCCCGACCGTCCACAAACCCAGTAAGGTTGTCCCGTGCGTCGAAGATATAATTACTTCCATCCTCCCCGAGTGGCATGAACAAGAGGTCCAGGTGTACGACGGCACCCACTTCCCTTTCTAGCCTGGGGTGTAAAGGCTCCCCAGGCCTTTGCGCTGACCTCTGCTGACAAGGCACACAGGACTGGCAGTACTTGATGACCATAGTCAGCATTCCATCCCAATGGTATAACTCGCTTATCTTCGCACACGTGGCACTAACCCCTCTGTGCCCTCCTGCTATACCATCGTGTAGGGCTGCTATGACATCGATCTGTCGGTTCCTCCCACATACGATCCTCTTGAGGTTCCCAACCTGTCGCTTTATAAACAAATGGTCATCTCTCACCACGTAGAGATGCCTCATCTTCTGGGCCTTAGCACTAGCGTCCCTATCCCTCATTTCACATGACAGGAGTAACCCCAATTCTCGATAAATTTCGTCATACTCCTCAGCACGGAAGGCCTCCCTAATCTCTCCCTCTTCGAACTCGTCGTCCTGACTCTCAGGAATGAAAAGTTAGCCCTCCTCTGAGCTGGCTGCGCCCCTCTGGTCAAAGTTCCCCTGCAGGAGCATGTTGGTGAGCAAGTACATTCCTCCCATTAGTTGCTCATGCTCCTCTACCTGGGTCGGGCCTTCCTCTATCGTCCTTACCTCCTCTGCTAGACTATGTGTCCCTGCCAATGCCAATCTCATCATCCAGCCAACATCCCTCTTTCCCCATGGATCTTCTTCCTGGAAGGGCTTGAGAACCAACTCCTCCTTCTGCTCGTACCCCCTTGGGGCTAGCCATATAGGATGCGTGACGCAGCTAGGCACCCTCAGCGATCACTCATTTATGTGGAGGCGGACGTCCTCCTCCTGGTCCAAGAACCCATCAACTGGCGGGGCATCCTCGATTGACCCTTGATTCGCCCCGTCCCAGTTGATACGGCTCAACCCATCTGCCCTATTCTTGTCCCCGGGAATCCTCTCCAACTCAAAGTTAAACATCCAAATGTAAGTCAACCACCTCGCGATGGTTGGGTCAGATGGAGTGTAACTTTTCAGGGAACACGCCAGCGCAGTAGGGTCCACCCTCAAAATGAGCCTTCTGCCAAAGATGTAATTCCGGAAGGTTCTTAGGCAATGGAGCACCGCCAACGTCTCCTTCTTGAACTGGGAGTAATTCCTCTCAGTCGTATTGAGGGTGCGGCTTTCAAATCTTAACAGCCTCTCCTTCCCATCAGCATCCGCCTAGATTAGGACCCCTCCTAAGGCAGTTGGCCCGGCGTCCGTCTCAACAACAAATGGCTTCTCCTCCGTGGCCTCGTAATTCGGCGCTCCCAGCACCAAGCCTCCTTCCTTGAATTCTATCTTCATCCTTTCCACAGCCTTTTCCTGGTGTTCGCCCCAGATCCACTCCTGATCCCGACGTACCAGCTTCCTAAAATGCTCCGTCTTGGTGGCGAAGTCCTTCACAAAACTCCTCCAAAACCCGCAGGTCCCGAGGAAGCTCCTTACGTTCGTTATCGATTGGAAGGGAACTGGCCACTCTAGGATCTTGTTTGTCTTCTTCCCATCTGGCCTCCACCCCTTTTCATTGCAAACAAAGCCCAGAATTGTGGCCTCCCTCATGCAATGCTTCGACTTGGGGCTGCTCGCCGTTAGGTTGTGCTCCTCCAACAGACCCAGAACTTGATCGATATCCTGGACGTGCTTCCAGACAAACCGCCTCACTCCCGGCATCACTTCGTTCTCCTCCTTCTCTTTTGGACCCTTGACCACCAAGTCGTCAATGTAGGGCTGAGTGATATGTGGGCTAACTGTCTGCATGGCCCTAATCATGTGTCTTTGCACCATTGCCACCGCATTAGTCCACCCCTGAGGTGCCACATTCATGTGGATCAGCCCCCTTGGCGTATGCATCGCCGTCACTGGCCTATCCAGTGGGTATACAGGAAACTGGTCATACCCAGAATAAAGGTCTATAAGTGAGATTATAGGCCTCCCTGCGCATGATTCCGACAGGGCATCCGCGTTTGGCAACCCTCCCGCGTCCCGCACCGTCACTGCATTCAACCGTTGCAGATCCTGCACCCACCGCAGCGTTCCGTTCGGCTTGATAAAACAAAACCAGGGGGAAGCGTACGGCCCACTGGAGTAATCCGCCACTTACGTCCTCATCTTCCCATCCATGTAATCCACCACCTTCTTCTCCTCATCCGGATTCGGGTACCGCGCGCCCCTCAGGTTCCACGGCTCGTGTGGGACGATATGGATTCGTATCATTGGGATCTTATCCACGTCCAACCTCCCACGCTCGTCGTCATTAAACGCATACGCGCCTTGCCTCCTCTTCATGGTTTCTACCATCAAGGTCCTTTCTTGGGGCGAAAGGAAGCCAGGCTCGCCGATTATCAGCCCTTCCTCATTCTCATTATTAATGCGGCACGGTCCTGCCTGTGCGCGCTCCCGCATACGCCTTATCAGCCCTCGCTCCCACTCATAATAGGCTTCCTCGTCCTCTGTGTAAAGCACGGGGACCGGGCGACACTTCTTGTCTATAGTCTTGTACCGCCTTTGGGAACCCTGCTTAAGCCCTCACCTAAAAAAGGCCGACTTGTCGTTCGGGCCTTGGCCATCGCAGGGTCTCCTTTCCTCCCGGGAAGCCGATAGATCAGTTCCACTTCTCCCACCTGAGGGCTTTCCAGGACCTGCTCCCTCAACGCCTTGATAGCCTCAGGGTCTGCCATATCATGCGCCGCCACCACCTCCATTGCCTTATTCACATCGTTAAGGCTCAGGGATAATACCTCGCCTACTCCTTCCTCCTCCTGCTCCTCCCGGAGTCTCCGTCGCAAGTATTCAGACTCCTCGAAGGTAAAGGAGCCGAGGTTGAGCCTGTTCCTCCCGCTTCTGGGTCCTGTGTTCCGGCACTTAATGATTTCATAGTTTCCACAGGCCGGATCGGACAAAGCCAGAATCATCGTCCCTTCATGCCTGTTGAAGACCAAGGTCTCCGTTCGGCAGAGGAACGACCTCCCCAGAAGAATAGGGTGGTCGACGTCGGGCATGACGAAGAAGCACGTCCGCGCCCTTACTCTCCCAATCTCTACCATTACATTTGATGCGGTGCCGCAAAAGATGGTCTTGGAGTTGGCGCCATGCAACACGCAATGGTCCGAATGGTCGACCTCCAACCCGAGCATAGTCGCATCCCGCTCCCGGATGATGTTCATTTCCGCGCCCGTGTCCACCATTGCAATTCTCGGCTAGTCCCTCACCTTCAGGTCCACCAACCCACACGCCACACATTTCCAATCCATCCTGGTGCCCACCTCCGTCCACTCTATCTCCCTGGGCAGGATTGAGCTCAGGTGGACATTGGGCACTAACCTCCGTGAGAGCCGCCCTTTCAGCTCGCCCCGGAGCCTCGGTGCTGACGCCAGAATGTCCTTTAAGTTCATCAGATCGTTATGGCCCTCCATGAGCTTATCCACCATTCGCTCCACGTCAAAGCCTTCCTCCAGCCGGACCGCGTACTTCTTCCTCTTTGGCACGCCATCATGCGGACTCGGCTCCGCCCCTCCCTGAGCCCCCCTCTTCTTGGCCCTCTGTTCCGCCCTCCGGTCCTCCTCCTGCCGGAGTCTCTCGTCCTCTTCGTCATCACCCTCATCTTCCTCTTCTCCAACCTCTACCACTTCCTTTCTTCGTTCGGGCTCAGGTTCCTTTCGAGGGGGCGCCCGACTGGGTGCCTGGCTAGGCCCTTGACTGGGGGTAGCCTTACTTTGGCCCTTAGTCTGCGCGGCCTGTGGTGCCCTTCCATGCGACATAGGGGGTCTGAAGGTCATCCCTGACCTAGGACCTGCCCCGGTCGTCGCCACACTTGGACACCCTTGCGGCCCTGATGGCGATTCCGGACCGGATCCATAGAGCATCACCTCAGGAAGGTTCATTTCCCACTCCCGGGCCTCCCCGCACATCACCCTTAATCGTTCTTGGTATCTGCCCACCTTTGCAAGCAGATCCTCCATCCTCTCCACGATGGTCGAGGCCGACTCTCTCGCCGCCTCCTGCGCCTCATCGTCAGACTCAACGACTATGGGCTCCTCCTTTATAGTCCCTGCTTTCAACCGCTGAGTTACTTCCTCATTTTCACCCACAATCTCCTCGACTCTTGTGCCGGGGTCTTGCCTTTCCTGCCATATCCTAAACATTGCTAGGGCTGCTGGAGGCCCGGCTGCTACCCGCCTGAGGGCCTCCTGCCTGATTCCTCCCGGGGTCTTGGGGTCAATGTGAGTTCCTCACCGATCGTATATATCCCCGTCCATACAGGTGGAGATTAATCCTGGCTTTTCGTCGTCCTGCCGCTGTTGGCAGAATCGTACGGTGTGGCCCACCTCGCCACAATGCCAACAAGTTGCATTCCGCCAGTCGAAGCGGGGTTTCCCATACCCGTGGCCTCCTCCCTGGCTGCCTTGGCCACCTTGGTTCTGACCCCCTTGACCATTCCAGCCTCCTCCACGGCCTCCACCATTTCCCCCTCACCCCCGGCCGCCCCCTCCTCTACCCCCTTGACGCCGGCCCCCATTGCCCTGCCCGCCTTGTCCTTGGCCCCCTCCCCCGGCCACACTAGCTTGCGAGGCCTGCTGGGAGGGCGACGGTTGGGCCACGGACTGGCCTTGGGTCGCCGGGTAGCCCGGGGGGCCCATACTTGCTGATGGGCCTGAGCAGGGGACCATGTGTCCCGCGTGGGCCGGACTCCCTCCACACGAGACATAGTGGTTGCAACTGGGCCAGGGTGCGGACTGACAGTGCGGCACCCAGTGCCCGCAAGTTGGTGGCGGCCCCATGTGTGATGGCCCTGCTGGCACCGGCGCGGCCGCGGCGACAGGCAGTGGTGCGGCAATGGCTTGGGGAGCCTGTCCCTTCCCTGACCCCTGCCCTCCCTGCAGCAAGTTGCGCTGCTTCCTCTGGGCCTTAGTCAGGACCTGGGAGCCTGTCTCCCCTCCGCCATAGTCTTCTTGCCCAGCCTCCTCATCTACTGCCCCTGACGCCCGGCCTTGGGCCACTAGCACCCCTCTCTTCTGTATCTCTGCTTCATTATCATAGCCCAGTGCCGCCAGCATGTTCGTGACTATTCTCTTCACCCCTGGGGTCTCGGATGCGGTAGCATCCCTCTCCTTCCTCTTGCGCCTTTGCAATCTCATTTGGTGCTGCTCCACCTGGTCCAAACTCCCTTCTTCCACTCCCTTGTCAATGGTTGCCTAGGAGAGCCTCTCACTCCCTTCCCCATACTTGGTCAGCTCTGTGGCCTCCGAGCCCGTAAGCAGTCCCTGAAATGTGGCGCACTGCGCCTCCTCAGAAATCCCGTGCACTTTCCTCGCCTTTTTCTTAAATTCGTGCACAAACGCCCCAATGGTGGAGAAATCTTCCTTATTCATGGCCTCCAAGTCGGCCATGGTCAACAGGCCGTCCCCCAGCCTGTACTTCCTTCGAATTAGGTCCCCAAACTTTGCCCAACTGCCACCGCATCCACAACCTTAGTCACTTCCCGATGGTGGCTATGCAGGACAAAGCTCAGGACCCGTTGGAGCTTGACCTCATCTGATAGCCCCACTAGTGCCTGCTCTGTCAGATCCAGCCAATCAGATATCCGATCCCCTTTGAAGTGGAATGTCTCGACCTTTGGGACGTTGCTCGACGCCCTCTCGCGCTTCTCCAGGGCATCGATGAGATCATCAAGAGTCACAAGCTTCCTCCCACCGTCCGCCATCTCTTCTGGCATTTTGGCCACCCGCCTTCGACTTCAATCTTCCTGTTATAAGAGACGATGGGACAGAGGACCACACTCAGTGACTCAACCTTTCATGACCCTATCGAGTTGACCACCTTAGACACCCCACACTCCAGACCTGACAGACATTCCTTCTTCCATTCCCCTTAGGCCCATCTAGATGACGAATATCCTTACCATAGAACTTCCTCGCCCACATACAGCACCCTGCTGTCAACCAAACCGCCAGTCAATCAATCATCCAACCCATAGTCACCTAGATCACCTTACATACATCTCATAGTCCTTCTCTTATTCACTTATATGCCTAGTTTCTCGCTTACTCCCATACCCGGATGTCGTTCCACCAGGGACAACGGTAGGCTTTCGTCATCCCCGGCAACGACGCCACCTGTCGAGCGCATCGGCCCGGCACCGCATGCGACATCGCGGGACCCTCTCGGCCGCGTCACGCAGGAGTTGGATCAATCTTGACATAACGCGAGAGTGGAGCTTCCTTAGGCCGCTCCGACCGAGTGCGCCAGCCATACCTCTCGCGAGCCCCTACGACAGGATAGGGCCTACGCGAGGCACAACTTACCTCCACCTTACGGGAGTTGTCACCTCCCTTCGGTGGGCGTATCCCTGCCGAGCTACCAGTCCACAATACGAAAGCTACTCGGTTGCAATCGCAGAGGTGGACCAGCCGAGGGCGTTTCTCATTCGCTGTAGCATAGGGGGTACGCGCGGTAATACGCCTATCGGACCCGCACGCGAACCGACATCTTGGGTGGCTGAAGTCCCAAGCGCGACTCGTCGTCGGTCGACTAGGACGCATCCCACACCCCACACGCACACCACAACCACACGACAACAACACGCACACATACACACGGAACGACACAACGCAAACAACGCGGCAACGCTCCTAGCCCCTCGGTAGCCAACTCATAACTTCCCGACGCGGAAATAGGATAGGCGTCGCGCGCGAGACTTAGTATAAAAATCATGCGGACGCAGGGCTAACTCATATCGACTCGTGATGCAAGCGCATGCAAGCGGTCGCAACCATGGCGTACCACGTGGTACCCATACTCGTGCGGTCCTCGTTAATCTCGAGGGTCACGTTCGACACTCCAGTGTCGGCTGACACACGCCTTGAGGGTTAATCTCTCGACGCTGGACAACCTCCATGCGAGGTTGAAGACCACACACCCTCTTCTGCACCCTTATGCAGAGTGGGTGGTACACAGGCCTATGCCTGTGGTGCTCGTCGTCTCTCGCGGCCCTAGGGGTGGGTCCTCCCCGGGGCCTGGACGAAAGTCAAGGGGTTTGACTTTGACGGCTGCCACGAACTACAACGTCCAACCATAAAAAAATCTTTAAGAAGCAACAAGACCCGCACGAATCCAAAAAAATGGGATAGGGCGAGGGTCTCCCGGCCCTTAAAACAAAAATTCATGGCTCTAGGACACACTTCCCTTCTACAGTCCGTGCCGACGGCCTACAATAATCCCAAGCGCTGCGCCAACGCGCAAGCCCAGCAGTCCCATAACTTTTAGACGCTGGGGGCGGCGAGGCGTCGCGCGCAGGGCTCCGATATAAAATTGCGCGGTCGCAGGCCAACCCTATGCCAACCACTGATGCCAATCATATATGGTAATCGCGGCTTCGGCCTCACGATATTGAATGGTTGAAGGAACTCATCGCGAGGGGTTACCCCTCACGATATTGAACGGCTGAAGGATACGCCGTTCGGCCCTTGCGACATTTCCGCCCTCCAGGCGGAGTGTCCCGCCGGCAAAAATGAATAGGATCTATGCAAGGGGAGACCCCTCCCCTTTTGGGCCTAGGGCTTGGGATGTTCTGGACAAGGACCTCAAATCCCGGCCCAGGACCAACGTCCGACTAAAAAAGCCCCAAGACGCAAATAGGCAGAAAGGGGGGGGGGGTCTTCCCTGTCCCTCAGTCCCAACATCCGCGCGGTTTTTAGCACGGCCCCCTTGGGCCCCTTGGATACCCATCATATGGATACTCGCGCATACATGCATAAGGGGATAGAGTTATGACGATCACTCCTCACAGGCACAGTGGGACGTCTCACAACCGTGCATATGTATATGGAATCGCAGGCAGTCCAAATCCAAAATCCAAGCCACAGGACATACCTGCAACCACACCAAGAATCAAGCGACAAAGCACGCACTACACGGAGTCAACCCCAACCATTCTCTATGCTCATACCCCTTCGCTTTAGCCATGCAAGCCCCAATCGCCGATCCAACCAACCTTAATTAAATACTCAGTACCTTTGTCAAATGGCCATTCAATAAAATTCCGGGTAAAACCCTTAACAAACAGTAAAACCACGAGGGCTAAAGCCTTTTAGGTTGAGTATGGGGAATGGATTGAAATTGAGTCGAAGACCGACGAATCGGCAACCGACCTGTTATCAGTGATAACAGAAGATGATCCTCGTAGGATCAATCCGGAACTGGTCCAAATCCTGAATCAAATCGATCAAGATGGCCTGTAACACAAGACAGGTCAATCCCCAGGCTGAACCTATAAGTCCATGGAGAATAACCCCCGTATCACGATCCCACTCAAATCACCTTAAATAACTAAGCCAGAATCTATCTGTAAGCCGTGGCCAAATCAAAGGTAGACCCCGGCATAATCTCCCCTATTCAGGGTGGATTGCCAAAATCGCCACCTGTCAAACTAACTCCTCTAAATCAAGAAAATTTTGGAAGCGCTTCCCGTAGGAAAAGTGTCTTTCCAAATTTTATATCAGCTCAAATATGGAAACAGAAATAACCTTGCCTAACTCCCTGAATTAGTAGAAATTTGGACGGCACTCCCTTTAGAAAGGGAGACTCCCCAGATTTGTACTAAGTCAGATATGAACTGAGAGAGAATTTGGGTTCAACTTAGACAAGATTTAGTGAATTCCTTAGTTTTGCAGTAATTTTGGCAGCACTCCCTTTGGAAAAGTGCTATTCCAAAATGTATACAAGTCTAAGTTCAAAATCTGGAAATAACTTTGACTTCTCAAAGTCCAATTTTGTCTAACTCCTTGAATTAGCAAAAATTTGGGCAGCATTTCCTTTAGAAAATGCGACTTTTCAAATTTTTACTACGCCAGATATAAAGATTAGACAAGTTGAATTTTGACAAGTCAAAAGTTGACTAACTCCTTAGATTTGTAGAAATTTCGGCAGCGCTTCCCATAGAGAAAGTGGCTTGCCAAGATTTATACGAAGCCAGGTATAACAAAAGATCCTAGAAAATGCGAGAATTGGTCTAAGTAAAAAAGTCAGCTCGAAAAAAACAGGAATTGACCTAGCTCCTATCGCTTTAGCCCGTGGCGAGCCTCTAAAGCAACTACCTGTCAACCTGAGGCCCAGACCAAGTAGTAACCTCACTCAACCACAAGCAGGCCAAACCACAAAGGTAAATACTCTCACCAACCCCAAACTCCTTTAGCAAACAATGGTTCATGCTTCCTCTGTGAGTTATCCCTTTCATAC